ATGCCAGGTGCACCAGGAAGGCGAGAAGAAAACACGTGCCACATCCGAATCAATGAGTGCGAAAGGAACATCAGTTAGTGAGACTAAACCTCAATGGAGTGGCTCATGGATGTTCATAGGGAACTTGATGCGGGCTACTTGCTAGACCTCAACATGCCCCAACTGTTTTTTCTTGAATGGCTAAGTTTGTTCGGAATGGCCCAGGGGAGCCATCAAATCGTGAAGATGAGTTTCCAGCCCACGCCGTAGAAAGAATGACGTTGCACTTCCTTGTAACAAGATTGCCTGTGACTTGTATTTGTGCTGTGCGTTGACGATATGTTCCGCAAACTCTTCAACAGTGCAATGAACATGTTTGGTTATTACGGATGTACGTGCTGTACATAGGTTCAACCTAGGCGAGTTCATTCCTCAGAGTGTCCTTGTGGAGCGGCTTTGTGGTAGCCAGACCTTTTGCAGGGAGAAGGGGGGGAGAGAGAGTGCTCAGGTCACCCGGGTGTGATGTGAACGCTTTAGTGGATGCGTCATTAGTGGATGTCTCAGGTCCTTATGCAAAGAATGGCCGGGAGCCTTGGGATGTGGGACATGGTGGGACAGCTATAGACAGTACAGTTGTGTGTGGTGTGTATGGCCGTATTGTTGCTCATACTAATATACATGATGTTATATGATATCATGTGTAGTTCGTGAAACACCCACATCCCGCGTCCAAGTCGCCGATGGCTCCCACACAAGTCACTCCATTTGTGGTGGGGATTAGTGGATGAGAGGAAGGGCGGCCAGTGCGGAAGTCATTCTGCGCAGTCCAGGATGCGGACCCCTCTGCTATAGAGGGGTCTATGATTTGAGAGTGTACCACCTGACGCACTTATAGCATTCCATGGGTCGAAGTACCGTCAAATGGATGTATTTTCGCTAACTACTCGCCACTCAACACGCCAGACAGACAGATACAGTAGGTCAGTTGGGAACTGGAGAAACCCATCGATTTGGCTTTCTCGGCTTCCAATCAGACTGACCCCCCACCGACCCAACGGTCGCTTCGTCTCGAGTCTCTCGACTCGCAAACGTGTGGCGCCGGTGGAGCCTTTTGGATTCGGTTTTGCTCTCCATCCAGGCCGGTGGTGAAGCAGTGAGTAAAGACATGTACAGACTGTGTCGCGACCATAGTGATGACCCACCCCCAAACCCTTTCATGGCTGCCATCCTCTCCAAATGTGACACATGTGGCGCCAGGAAAACGGAGCCCAGCAAAGGCTTCAACCAGGCTATGGAAGTTTCGGACGTCAGGGTCAATGAATGGAGTTGTGAGTCATGGCTGTGACATATTTGCTTCAAACAACCTTCACAATCGTCACCTGCTTTCTCCTGGACAAATCTCTTGCACCACCTCAGGTGTGCTTCCGGAAAAAAACAACTGTGAACACCGTTTTCTCCTCACGTGTTCTTCTTCGGGTTCCAGGCCTTCATGTGAGATTTGAAGGTGACCGATTGACCTCGCTCAATCACTGTCAATCATCTCAGGCCCTGGAATTACGGAATGTTACGGATGAAACAGTGAAAAAACCATGGTTTCCTGTGATTAATATGTGATTAATTTGTTTTACTGAAGCCAATCCATTGACCATCAGCAGTGAATTAGCACTTTTTGTTGGAACAACGCTTCAGGCAGCCTTCAACAAAATGGTGGACGCTGCTTGGTTGCTTTTGCGTTAGACTTTGCAAATGAGACGCTGTGCATCCATGCAAATCCCCAAGAGGTCATGCCTTAGAACCACTGTGCAGTAGTCTACCCGTCCTTCAGTGACAGTCGGCCCGACAGATACTGGTACATATGGTCGTGTATGCCATCTCTATATATATATATATATATACACACTCAAATGACAAGTAGAAACACAATGAAAATCATTGTTAATTACCCACTCTAAGAAAAGTAATTGGACATCGTGATTGGTTTGCTTGGTTGCGGTTGCGACACGGGGGCCACTCGATTCGCATCATTTCCAAGGATCAATCTCCGCGAGGTGGGGTCTTCGATCGGCGTGTGCTGGCCATTGACCTTTGGCCATTGTTCCGGGCGATTTTGGTAGACCCTTGATTCATGAAACTCGTGCAGACTGAAATGCAATCAAGAGTCCACATTAAGAGTCGAGTCTCCGTTTCCTTTTGGACAACCTGTGGGAATCTGGGGGGCGCTGGGGACCATTGGGTACCATGAAAGATCATGAAGTATAACATTTTGGGGTTCTTGTTGTGACATCGTGGAGCCCCACAAGTTTAAACGCAAAAAAACGCTTACAACACGTGTGCAGGTTAATGTGGGTTGCGCATATGGATCATATTGGTTCGCAACGCATTCACAGTCAGTGAACTGATTTGGTTCTACGTCAGGGCTCTACATAGCAGTCAAGGAAACCGGGATTGATGCTAGCAAAACCGGTCTCCTTCTAAAACCCGTGGAAGATTTCCCACATTTGCGGCTGCTGGACACATCCACATGTTCAAGACCGGATTTGAGGTACTCAAGAGCCACCCAAGTGGACCTGGCTTCAAGGGGCCATCCTGCAGCATGCGTTAACCGTTAGATTCAAGGGGCTTTGGGTGCCTACGGCATATTATCCAAACATATCCAACCCGCCACACGTTTCGCCGCGAACCGGCAGTTCTTTGAAACAGGCTGTTATTGCACCAACGAAGAGCTGAAGATCATCTTGGGAAAGATTATGGCGGCCCCAAAGCTGCCCAAGTCCCAAGTGAGGTGGGAAAACTGGCGACAGAGCTGGCGGAGCAGTCAGGGGTAAAGGAGGATGAAGGAAGGCCACTGAACCCTCCAAATTGTGGCAGCATTCTACTGCATGAGCCCCAAAGCATGTATTACCTATGGGTCAATCCCCAAACCATCGGTGGTTGTGATTCGAGCATTTGGCGGGTTGGAGAATGATGCTTGGCTTTGGTGCGCCAAGTGTTTCTACTTCATTTGGGTTTGCATTGCCACTTGCGCGGCAGGAAGCAGTCTTCACCTCCGGCCCCGCCGCCAAAGAAGCAAAAGGTCGAAGTGCAATTTCAGTGATGCGTAGAATGGAGATCCAAGATGCTTTGACCATTCTCCAATGCACACATGGAAGAAGCTCAAAGCAAGACCAAAAACATCCAAAAATTGAGAGACTTTAGCTACCATCAATTTAGCGGTTGCATGAGCAATCAAACATGTGTTTCCCATGGGTTTTTTTGTCACAGCAACGAACACACAGGACAGCAAAGAATCCTGGACACCACGTCTCACCACTTAATAGTGTACGCGAGGGCCGAGGAAAAAGATGGCGATCTCGAAGAATCGGTCCAAACGTTCCGAATCTTCAGAACTACACTGAGAACGAACATTGGACATATGACATCCCAACTGAACCGTTTGTCTCGTTGGTCCAAAGAGCAAAAACTCATATATGGCTCTGTGTCATGGCGCCAGGAACCGACCAGTTTTTTTTTTTTTTTTTTTCCGACCTAGTGTTGGTGCTTCGCTGCATGGTAGACTGGTCGGGCTCCAGGTGGGACACCAGGTTTTGACGCATCCATTCAATCCCCGCCGTTGTAGAATTCACCTGTATTGTGGTTTCATCTATACTGTAATTTGGAGATCTTGAACACGCCGTGTTGTGTGTTGCCTTTCAACGTTCAGTCACATGATTTCAATTTTGCACGTTGGAACTGCACGTGCACATCTGGGTGTTTGTGCAAGGGGGGGGCAGGTCGGTCAGAAATTGCGCATGCAGAGTTTGGCTCGTTTTTTTGGCTCACAGCCTTTACAGCATACTTTTCGTGGACTATGACGCGCATCATTTTTTTTGTTGATTGTTTTTTTTTTTTTTGCGTTGTGTGAGCTGCGTGAACAACGACATCAGTTGTGTCAGCTTTCAACCCAAGAACCGTTGAACACTGCATTTGCTTTGGGCACGATGTTTGCCATGCAGTTGAGGCTGTTTTGCCGAATCGGCCGGCCGTCAGACAAAGCTCGTATTTTGATGTATTTTGTGTATGTTTTTCTACGAGCAGTCGGGGGCAGTTAGTTCAAAAACATCCAAAACAAATATGTTGCCGTCCACGCCACCCCGCTTCAACCTTCTAGCGGCCCAGTGGAAACAGAATGCGAAGCATCAACCAACCGAAAATTCATGTTGGTTCCTGCTGTCGCAGTTTGGGATGATTCAACCTCAAAAACATCCGCAGTCCCAGCTGAACCGTCCCGTTGGTCCAAAGAGAGAACAACTCACATGGTTGTAGGTCATGGCACCAGGAAACCGACCGGTTTTTTTCCCACCTGGTGTTGGTCCTTCGCTGCATGGTGGGTTGGTCGGGCGGTTTTGACCCATCCCCATTTTACAATTCACCTGTATTGTGGGTTCATCTATACTGTAATTTGGAGATCTTGAATCTTGAACACATTTGAACACGACGTATTGACTAGTGTTGTGTTGCCTTTCCCCTTTGGCACCCAGAGAGACCGGTCCCATCGAGGTTCCGCTTCATGGAAAACACCCCCCACAACCGTGGCGGGGATCGAGCGTGTTCCGAGGCGGAGGACGGTTTGGATAACATGTATGTATCAAAATAGTATAGTATGTATATATACATCTATAGCAGTTATCCAAACCTTGTAACATGTATACTGTATAAACGTCATGACTTATAACATGTATAAACGTTCACGTTTTCCATGTATACTGTATACTGTATATATATAATAGATAGAGCTAAAGGTCCACAGTATTTGTAATATACATTGTATACTTTATGTCTCACATGCTTAGTACCATGATTTACTCATGGTACTTCCATACTGATTTATACTGGTCAAGAACAGATACACTGGCAGTATACAACTGTTCTATCCTGCCGTATCCCATCACACCAACTATCACCCGTGATGCCTAACTGCCCGCCGTTCCTCGTTCGTTCCGGTGGTGCCTCGACACAGGTGGACGACGTTGGTCGAGTGAGCCATGCTGATTGGCCCATGTGCTGAAGCAATAGGTCAGCGCAATGTGGTTCCTGGTGGGTTCGTTTCACACAGGGCGGTGTGTGTGTGTGTGTTTTTATTTTTTTGCCGGGGCCAGTGATGGAAGAGATCGTCACAACAACTGGCAATGCACAAAAGGTTTCAGGGAACCATGGGATACCCTCTTTTTCATGGTGCCTGCGGTTTGTTTTTCACTTAAAATTGGTTGGGCTTCACAAGGTAATCAACCTGTACTGAACAGAATTTATGAGAGCAATGAACTTGGTTTGGATTCTGGATTCTCAAAGCAATTAGGCCTGAAATGCAGGGATGGGGACGGTGTCAGCTTTGAATTGTCCAATGTTTGCTTTGGAGGCCCTTGCCATTGTTAAAGAAATGTTAAAGAAGCCCACTGAACAGCTATTCAACGAAGCAATGATCAATTCACGCGGTTTGCTATTCCAGCCTCCCAGCCACACCTGTTTGCGAGATGTAGGGGAACTGTTTCCCAGCTTGACATGTTAATCACAAGGAACATGATCTCTCTAGAAAATCCCGCGGATTTTTGAATGCCCATGGAACCCTAGACTAGCTTAAACTAGCTTTAAACATTATTAAACTGTATCATGCTGATGTTGAACAACTACCACCCAAAATATATTATATAGAAATTCTATAGAAAGCATTGCATAAGTGACATCCAAACATCATGCCCACCACCTGGTTCGGATCTGAGTTTGGATCCATGACCCTCCCTGAGTGTGGTCCTTCTCCACCGCCACAGGTGCCTCACTCTGCTGGGCAGTCGGTTTGACCCTCCTGGCACGGCCACGGCACCCCGGCGACCACACCGACCATGCTGAGGGGCTGGGAGCGCCTGGAGACTCAGCGACAGATGCATCGAGGACGGACCAACTGCAGACCTGAGGCCATCAAGAAGGTGGTGTTGTTGATACGTTTTTGGAGAGCATGGACCATCCGGAAGACGGGGTCGTTTGAGGCATTTCTTCAGATTGATGTTGATTTGCTGTTCTCATTCCATTCAGTGAATGCATGGACAGTGTATGTGTGTTTGCCCCATTTGTTTGTTGGATGATGGGCCAGAGACCAGATGGGCACCCAGAAGGAGTCTTGATGAGTCTTGGGTCGGCGACCGGAACTGACCGGAACGCTCGAATCTGTGGGTCGGAACGTTCCGGATTCCACTGAGGCCAGAGGGCACCTCCCGGTAGCCCGGCAAAAGAACGTGGAGGAAAAGAGGCAAACGCTTCACATCGAGGATCATATTTGTTCAGATGGCATTTGGAGGTGGGTCCAAATCTGGACCAAAGCCAGGTTGACCGAACACCGGTATTATTTCATTGATATTTGCATGTAATAATTATAATGGTGGTGAGTTTGATGTGTGTTTTGAGCCCAAACGCCCCAGATCCGATCCAGGCAATCGGCCATGTTCGGTCGAATTGGTTTCATCGGTGTCGATCGTTCCGAACGATCGGAAGACAGTGACAGATCTTGGGCGCAAAAGCAAATGGCTAGGGACACAGGAGTCATTGCCGGTGGCTGGGATGTTTCATGCTCCAGAGAGCACCCCCCTTTGCGACATCCACGGTGCGATGTCGCATGCTAAAAGGAGAGAGGTCGCACGCCTGAAGCTTCGGTCCTAAGCCTGAAGCTTCGGTCCACTTCGGTCGACTAGAGTGAAGAAAACATGTCATGTTCTTGGTTACCACTTCAACAGAACTTGGCTTTCAAGGGCAAGAAAGATGACAAATTTGGGTCCTTCGACCTTGTGGGGAGTGTCAACGCACAGTGTCATGGAGAGTAGAATTCCGAGTGAATGAGAGTAGGCATGATTGGTTGGAGTGTTTCTTACACGGTAACAGTCCAATAAGTATCCTCAATTCTGGTGGCCCTTTGTTCAGTCTATACCGAATGCTACAAGGTGGGATGACCCTGATGGGCCTCAGAAAAAATGCAACATTCCTCAAAACCTGATAGGTAAATATCCCATCAATGTGGTTCACCGGTTCGCGTTTGGGGCCAAACCTAATGTCGAATCCCATGTTCCAAGGTTGTCCTTTTATGGAGGAGCTTTGGTGCGGGCGCTGAGCATGAGGATTTTTGTAGGAAGTGACATGTGTTGGCCCCACCTGGGATGTCATTCGACAAAGTGCAAGAGTTGTTCCTTCAGGTCTGCCGAAAAAAAAAAAACGGCGCGTGCGTGGACTGTGTTTCTCTCAAATCCACCTCGACAGGTCTTTGTTGTCGGTTATGCCTTCAGTGTCTCCTCGGCCCTGAAGCTCAGCGGCTCCAGAGCGAGCCAGCAGTGGTGTTCGGCAAAGGACGCTCCGGCGTGATTTTCGGTCTGAAGTGTTGTAAGCCTTTTGTTTCAGCCTCAAAAAAAGCTCTGAAGTGTTTTTCTCTAAATGGTGAAACTTATATGATACAATATCTATAATATTTGGAATTCATTTACCATGTATTACTACGATCTTGACGTGGAAGAATCGTTTGTCCGTCGATGGCATGGACCCGACGAGCTGCCGACGTGGAACGAAGAGTCCGCAGCGCTCACCTTCGGAAGGGAGGTGGAAGAGAACGAGCTCGGATGGAAAAGCATATGCCATATGGTGCCGCAGATGGAATAAATGCCTACCGACGATCTGGTCAATATGCAAGTCCCATGCCAGTGTCGTGTTTGGGTGCAGGTTTCTTCCGCGGGTTTTCCCGGAGTGGTTCAGGTTCTTTTGTTGCAAAAGGATTCACTCAAGGATCCCTACAGTGATAGACATGAAACTATGGATTCTCGCTTTACTGCAGCTGCAACTCGAGATGTCAGGAGATTATAGGAGGTTTGCGCTGCAGCTCCTCACCTACCCCCAACCAATTGCCTCCAACCAACCTTTTTGGAGTTTTGGAGTGCCACAGTGTCCGACAAAAGCCAGAGTGCCCTGAAATCAGGATGAGGGAAATGATATAAAATGATCCTTCCCACGCATTTCTTCCCAAAACGGCTTGTGAGTGAGTCAACTGGAAGGGTTCGTTCATAGTTTGTTTCAGATCCATAACCCTTCGGCGCCCAGGCCTTGTCTCCAACACCCTCGCGGAACTTGGCGATGGCGGCATTGAGCGCCTCTTTTCCCTTCAGTCAGGGGAACCCGAGACGCGTGGCTTCGCACCGGCGCCTGCGTGCAACGTGTCGTGTGTGTGTGTGGAGGATGTTGTGCCTGAGTTCTAGACAGTTCCAGGGGGTTCAAGATCAGTTTGGAGGTATTGTGATCTCTTAAAACTATCTTTCACAAGATGTGTGGTTTAGCCAGGCTCAGGGTATGTTTGTCCTTCTCCACCCACCAATGATCTTTAATACATACTCTCCAAGCGCTTGGTCAGAAATGCTGGGGATGGGTGTTTTTCGAAGGTCTTTTCGCAGCAACTGAACGAGGCGAACTCCGTGTGCCAAGCGCACGCCACAGAAGTAAACCGATGACAATTGGGCGATTTGCCGAAGAAGGCGACGTGTGAAGTCGGATTCACCCAAACGATTGCACCGGCTCCCCTTGAGAAGGTCACATAGGTCACGTCGTTTGAAGCGTGTTTCTTGGGCTGTCTGAAGTGGGACTTTAGCACGCCCACCAGGCCTGCTTGCGCAAGCTTGGTGCGCCCGCAAGATGGGTTGCTGGAGGAGGGCGGTGGAACTTGTTTGGTATATTGTTTTTGTTGGTTTCATTTATATATAATATAATATATTATATATATATGTGTGTTTGTTGAGTATGATGAGATACCAGGAAGTGTTACTATACTACATCAGATCTCGGGAAGCGTTCTCTTCTTCCGAGGAAGGACCGAACACCCATCGTGACACTGGTTTTTTTTTCCGGCCACGTGGCGCCGGGTCAGGTGGAGCAGAAAGGACATGCATGTGTCATGCATATGTGACTAATTATTCTCTATGGTTGATACTTGTTCTTCTTCCCCAAACTCATTTCAACAGTTCTTCTATGTTGGTCGCCCTACTCGACCTCTCCGGCTGCAATCTAGCTTATATACCTCTCCGGGTGGAGTGTTCACTTGTTGTCCCTCAGACACATCTTTGGGTTTCTGCTTGATTCTTCTATGCGCTGCAATCCAATAGGATCCATGCGATGTCCCTACAGGTAGCTCGACCCTTCGAACTCACCCTCACCTTCTCAGGAAGCAACTGGATGAGTTATATAAACCATGTTCAACATCAACCCCACAGGTCAAACAAGTAGAGATAGATGTGGAAAACCAAGGGTCACCCACCAAGCACCCCAGAATCTATGGGAACGCTTGATATCCACATCCATCCATATCCATCCCCAAGCCGATCCGTCTTTGCGCACCTGGCACCTGGCACTGCCGGTGTGGTGTGGCTCCGCTCAGCCAGTGCGCTCTCCGCGCTCTCCGGTCAGGCTCTTTCGGTGGCCCAGCGCCACTGAGGCGATGTTCGCTGGCTTTTAAGGAAGGGTGTCTTACCAGGAAGGAAGTGTGTCACACTGTTTTTTTTAGTGTGGAAGAGTTTTCTTTTTTTTCCGGGGCATCTTTGTTCATCGTGTCATGATCGAATCACGTACCGTCAAAAAGGGGCCAATTCGGGGGGGCCCGTTCCCGCGGATCGCCAAGCCGAGCCCAATGGTCTCTGAGTGAAAAACGCTGCAGCCAGTTCAGCCAGTAGAATGGTGCCCTTAACTTAACTAGTCTAGACAAGCAGAATTTGGGATTTGGGGAGTGTTTGCTTTTCACGTTCCGTTAGAAGTAGCTCCAAAATTCGGGGTGTTTGCTTTTCACGTTCCGTTACGTGTTGGATGAACATCATGTGAACATAAGGATGACCCCAATGCTGAAAAGGAGGTGCTCAAAAAAAGAGCTCCAAGGCTATTCTGCATGTCTTTCTGTACTGCTGAGGGAACGTTGCCAGGCTGGCAGCTACTTGCTGAGCTTTCTAGGCTGGGTTGACCAGACGCGCAACACAGACGACGGGGCGGATTTGGAGGCATCCTTAGGTCCTTGTTGGTGCGTATGGTTTGGCTGGGTGATTTGAGAGTCGATGAGTATGTCTTAGACGTACACTCCGACAAACACATCACATGGAAAAGTGGATGGCACCCCCGTGTTCATAAAGGAAAGCAGTCTTCCAAGGGACCATGTCATCCACTTCCATGTTAGAGAGTCGGAGCGTACGAACGGATCTCTTTAAAGGAGATCAGTTGAGACCTCAGTTGGTACTCTGATTCAATGTTCACATTCATCGGGCTTCAGTCAGGCCGCCCAGGGCGGCCATGTGTCGTGGGAAAACAAATGAGCTCCAGGACTCTAGATCTGTGGACCCACTCACAATCTTATGCTTGGCCTGAAACTCCTGGGAGGCTGGAAGGAGAGGTGCAGTCGCATGAATCTTATTTGACAACAAGTTGTGTTTTTCTTGACCCCCAACCATTTTGTTGACTCCCAACGCCTCTTTGGAAAACCACCGTTTTTGACACGACACGGAAAGCCCTTTTTTGACCAGCAAGCCGCTTGTTTTAACATTCGTTTTTCCCCTACTGCATTTGCTTTTTGTTTTTGCTTCTGCTTCTGCTGTTGCTTTTCGCTTTTGCTTTCGCTTTTGCTTTTGCTTTTTGCTTTTGGCCTTTGCTTCTGCATTTGCTTTGCTTTTTGCTTTTCCTTTTGCTTTTGCTTTTTGCTTCTGCCTTTGCTTTTGCTTTTGCTTCTGCTGACTGTCTTCTTTGCATTGACACTGCCACAAAGTTGGATGATAAGACCTTCACCTTGAGCTTTGACACCCAATTACACCAATCAAGAAACGAAGCAGCCCAGCGCTGTCTATATTTGATTTGCATTGCGGGGGAGGCGCTGCGCCCTCCCCCGCACCCACTCCGCTTTTATCTTTTATAGTTGCCACTACCGTCCACCACCCCTACTATTTCCAATACCTCTATCACTCGGACCACCCCGCTACGAGTCTTACCACAGTTACCACAACTACTATGTTCTTTGCGTTGACGCTGCCACAAAGGTGGATTTCTACTTTGCTTAGCCCAAAGAAACCCGAAGCCACTGAAACCCAAAGACAACCGCAGAAAAGTCCCTGCCCTATTAAAATTCCTCTCTCCTCCTACTTCTCCTTCGTTAAGTGGGATGTCTTTTTCCGGGAGAACGCCTAAAGAAACCCTAAAGACAAGAAACCGAGCCGAAAGAAACCCGAAGCCAGTGAAGCTAAAGACAACCGCAAAGAAGTCCCTAGTAAGTGGAATACCTTTTCTGTTCCCTCCCTTTGTCACTGTCACGCTGGCTTTGGTGCTTCATCCCCTGCCCTTTCTGCTGCTCCTAGTGCTTGTAAAGCACTGCCAGCAGAAGCAAACGCAAAAAACAGTAGGGTAAATTTGTGAAAAAAACGTGAAACATTTCCAGAAAAATATGAAAAAGGCCCGTAAAAAATATCAATCCCTTTTTGGTAGCTTGGGAGGGCAGGTGAGGTTGTAAAGCTTGATGAGGAAGTAGAGTGGCAAGGAGTTTTTTAAAAAGCAACAAAAGACAAGAAACACAAGCCTCTTCTGGCAATGGTAGCAGAGGACGATGACCCAGAGGAAGGAGGTGTGGGGCACAAGCGATAGAAGATAGTATCGAAGATTATCGAAGATGGTTTGATTCATTGCTGCCGATTCCTGGTGACCCAGGTATGGAGTGCATGAAGTTGATGCAAGCCTGCATGCAGTTCAGAGCACGTCATTGCTTTGAGCACCTTTGGCAAACAGAGTGCGTGTGTGTGTGTGTGTGTTTGCATGGAAAGTGGCAGTGGCAGGTCACTACCAGATGTCAGTTGGACGCTTCTGGCTTTTGACGGGCTCTTCTTTGCCACATGACATTTGCGGAAGAATAAGGGGAAAGAAAGCAAGCAAGTGGATTTTGCTTGGGTGAGCATAAGCAAGCACATGGTCTTGCTTGGGTGAAAGGATACATTACAGAAGGTTGTTCGGTTTGGCGCAGCTAGAGCAAAAGAGGCCGGCTAGAGTCGTGGTGGCATCATGTTCACCTTGCAGTATAGCAGAGACGCCAACAATGCATCCTGTGAAGACTGAAAGTAGCACGCTTATTCAAACCATTCTTAATTGTTGTGCATGTTGCTGCATTCGTGGCACGGGTGGAAGGCACAGTTGAGAAAGAAAGAGAGGGACCGTGAGGTTGTAAAGATAGATGAGAAAAGACTACCAGATGGCTTTTGGACGCTTCTGGCTTTTGAAGTGTTCTCCGTTGGCAGACGAGCTTTGATAGCAGACCTTTTATGAGCAATTCGGCACAAAAAAATCATTCGCCATCCAAGGTAGCAAAACTTCCGTTAGCCAGCCGAGGGCAACATTTAGAGGAGGAGGGAACAATTCTAAGGTAGCAGACGTTTTGTGAGCCACCCAAGAGTAAAATGTAGAAGAGAGAGGAGCTATTGCAATGTAGCGGACTTTTTGTAAGCTACCCGAGTGTCAAACTCAATGTAGCTGACATCATATACAACCGAGCCGGGGACAAAATTTAGAGGAGGAAGAAACCATTGGAAGGTAACGTACCTTGTGTAAGCCACCCAAGTTTATAATTTAGACGGTGCAGGGACCAGCCCAAGGTTGCAGTGCTTTTCTGAGCCAGCCAACATTTGTTGCAGGGGCCACATGAACAAGAGCTGGCCACGCATTGCGGTCTTGCAGCTGTCCAGACAACTGGTAGAGCTGATCCCTTTGAGAACTCATTTGAACAACTTGGACTATCAACCCCTGCAAACATAATTACGTTCCTGTGCTTTGGCATAGCAAACCGCACACACCCAAACTCCAAAGCGCGCACGGCCACACTTCTGGCAGCAGCCGCAGCGGCGCCAGCGCCCAGATGCCAAAGCGCACACAGGCACCTTTTCCCAAACTCGAAGTACGGATCCCAATAGCTCGAGATATCTGAAGAACTAAATCAGGCGGAAACATTAATATATTGTGTGTTACAGTCATGTATCCTCATATACATACTTGGTGGTCGCCCTCCGGCACGGCCACAGCATGACCTCCAAACCGGATAGGCGCTGCGGAATACAAACAGGGCACTAGAAGTCTCAGCACGAGATGCAATTGCTGCAAAACTCAATGAACAGAGTACGGTCAGCACAAGTGAAATGGTCTCGTGTTTGCACGAACTCTGCACACAGGGCATGAAAACTCAGTTTTTGCACGCTTGAAGGCAGGCCTTGCAAGGCGGGAAACCAATCGGTGCCATACATTCAATCAAGTTCACAAGCAGCAAAAGTGGCAACCATTTATTCCACACACTCTTTGCAAACGCTGTTCAGGCACGTTTCGCAAGAAAAACAACCCATGCACACAACACGTTACAGCATCGTTTTGTTTCCCACGGCACCTTCATGGTCAAAAAAGGCGGGTGTAAAATGGTTTGAATATATAACTAAAAGGTTTCGAGTGGTCAAAAAACTGGGCATTGGGTTTTAAACTTAAAGAAAGGACGGTAATGCAAAAAAGAAAGGTTGTTGTGAAAACAAGGCTGGTGCTCAAAAAAAACCGGGACGGTTGTCAAAAAAAAGGTCGGGGGTCAAAAAATAGACTTGTGGTTAAACAAAAGGGGCTGGTGTCACAAAAAATATTGGGTAAAAAAGAATACGGGGTCAAAAAGAGGGATTGTGGTTCAAAAAAATAGTGGGCCAAAAGAATCCCCTTATATAATTGATTAATGTTTCAGGATGTTTAAAGTTTAGCAGCTAAAGACAGTTGGTTGTTCTTGTGTTTCCTGGTGTATGACGGAGGCGCCACTGCCATGCAGCTGGCAGCGCCCTGGCCCAGCAAGGCTCGAGCGATTGCGGGATCCAATCCTTGCATCTCCTCGACTGTTGATTAAAACTAAAAGAAACATCCGAAGAATGTTTTTTTCAATCCACATGGGGATTATTGTTCTATGCATCTCCTTGACTGTTGATTAAAACTAAAAGATACATCCAAAGAATGTTTTTTCAATCCACATGGGGATTATTGTTCTATCCATCCACCGTCTCACATCAAGCTGAAGGTCTGATCTTTCATGTGGACGAAGTCGAATCCAACTGCCCGATGGATCACACGTAGCCTCTCGTTGAGCCAAGGGAAACAAGACATGCAAGGCCAGTCCTGCTCAGAAGTAAAGCAAGAAAAGTGAAAGTTTTGAAGGACAAATAGGGCAGGCAAGTTTGTTGTGTTGCATTGCTGCACCACCTTGCACCGTTGGTGGCGCCATAGTTTACAAAGGTCTCCATTGGAACTGTTCGAACCTTGGAATTATGCACAAGTAGTCAAACTGAACAGGGATCCAACAAATTGCAAAAACAATATGACCGATCACCAAGTCAAACATCCTACAAGTAGCATCTAATGAACCAGATGCACCTCCAAAATCTACCTCTCCGCTGAGAAACAAAAACAGGTTTTAAACATATGTTACGGATCTGAAGAAGCTCCTGGCGGATGGGGTTGTATGCTCAAGATTTCGACAGACTCTTGAGTGAAGAGATGGGGAGCTACAGGATTACATGTTTGTCAGAGAACTGCCAAGTGGGTCATTTTGGAGTCTCGTGGGGCTTGTTTGGGAGGCACTACAACGTGCATGCGTGTGAGAACGGTCGATTTTTTGAAGTCACAAGTTGCTTCAGAAACCTTTGAATCCCGATGGGAGAGGTGCAGACACTGTCCATCAACTCTATTTTGCAGCAGTACTGGGATTTTTGGAAGTTGTGCGACTGTTGCTGGATGGCGGAGCTAACAAGCATGCAGCAATTGCAGAAAGGGCTGAGTGTGGATGTCGTCCCCGAGTGGGTCAGGCCACCTGGCAGGCCCAGAGCAACGCCCGTACGCGGTATCCTAGGTACTTGTAGTATCCCATAGTATCTAGCGATCCTTCCATAGTATTCCTACTCCAGGAGCTGAGTAACCATCGTGCCACATAATATACATATAAACACATATATATTTACCCAGGAATTCTCGGACCTAGAGGTCAGGAAGTTCCCCTGTCAACACCAGTCAACACCGGTTGTTGGAGTAGAGGGATGTGGAGGGCGGAGTCCACAAATGCTTCTTTTGCCAAGCAGGTTCATTGTCCGTGCAGAAAAAAGCGATTCCAAAGGGTTTCAGGGTTGTTACACTGCATGACACAATCAGGCTATTGAAACATGGTTCACTGGTCATTCAACCACAACCTGGTCATACCAGAACCTGGTCATTCAACCAGAACCTGGTCATTCTGCATTCTGGTTCTGGTTCATGAAACAAACAATTCATTCAACCGGACCCAACGAAACGAACGCCGACCTCGCCGGTCTTCCGACGCTTTCAGGGGCCCTCCGAGGGCCTCGACGGCCTACGGCGCCTGGAGGGCTTCGGTCAATGTCCTGCAGCGGCGCTGGGGGTCGGACAGCCCGGTGGGAGGAAACAATTGGGAGATGTTGGGATGATTTCTGTTGGGATCTCGGACTGAGTATGTTGAGATGTCATTTGTTTTGTGACTGAGTATTTCGGACTCTTGAGAAGCTCCTAGTGACAAACCAGCCAACCCTGAACACCCAGCTGGGGGTCTTGGGATCTTTTGGTAGTCTGGTTGGTAGGTTGGTATGTTGGTTGGTTGGTTGGTTGAGTTGGTTGGAGTTGTTGAGTTGAGGTGTGCGTTTTATTTCGGCATTGTTTGGTTTGATTGGTTCGTTGCATCCAGGACCTGTTTGGTGGGAATTTTGGATTGATCGCTTGGTGGTGCTGGCTGGTTTGGCCCAAGTTCCTTCAACCTCAGGATGTGCGTTGATTCCATCGCACAAGGAACTGATGGAATGGTTCTGGTGTGAGTTGGACGTGAGTTGCCAACCTTCTCCGAAGACCATGTGGCCCAGTTTGGCACAGTTTGATTGCTTTGTAACGAACGACTGAGGCCTACTTGCTGGCTTGCCTCATGTGCTTATTTGCTCAGCCCTCAGTGATCGAGTGACCCGAGCCAGAACCTGTGCTCAGCCGCACCATGACGCTTAAGGAAACTGAATCGCGGTTTCTGAGCTGTGCAGTTGTGAGAGCATATTGGGCAACAACATGTAAAATAACAAAATAAACATACATATAAATTATAACAATATATAACAATATATATATATATATTAATCTATATATATATATACAGTATATGTATTAGTCTACTGCTTTGAGACATCCATTTAAGCTTTGAGAGTAAAGTAGTTATCGATTAGCAGTTAGCAAACCAGTTCTCCTGCCGATGTGGGAGGCGTTTTTTTTTGAGCCTAGCAGCCTGACCATATTTTGTTCTATCACAGAAGCTCTCCTTCGGCACAAAGCCGTGTCTCTCCCGCTGAAAGCGCTCGCTCGGCTCGCGTCGTCAAGCCTTCTTTCCAGCCGAGGCCGGGATGGCGCTGGTCTCGGTGAGCGTTTGGCCCGAGACATAGTCTTTGGCGGGTTGGAACTGCATAATGCACTGACCTGGTGAGCCCGTGCAGCTGTGTTTTCCTTTTGGAATATGTCCCTTTCTAACGACTATGGGAGAAAAAGGAAGGGAACACATGTCAACAGGTGCCCAACAGGTGGAGTTTTGTGCCCAATAGGTGAGGGATTCGACTGCGGGGGCATTTATGTTCGTTTAATCAGACGGTGGACATTGGATGGACTTATGGACTTGTCAAAAGATGCCTTTCATAACTATTCATGTAAACTCTTCAAAAGGATCTATAGAGACTTTTTTGGGGTGGTCACTACGAAATGTGTGTTTTATGTTTTTTTTTGTGTTTAACTGTTTGCTACCTTTTGTTGCTAAATGACCGAACCGTTTCTCGCTACCGTAAGGACCACCCCATGTTTGTCCCGGTCAAAAAGACGCACTAAGCGGCGCACTGAAGTGTCGTCCGCTGGTTTTTGGCGCTTCAGGGATGCGAGCCCGGAGAAGCCTTTCGCTGGGGGTCTCGAGCGATTTGGGAAGTTTGGGACTGGCCATGGCTGTTTACTATTGCCCTGTTGATTTCTCAGCGATTTTTGTGGCTTTGAGGGGGAGTGATTGTTTAGTGAGTTTCGTGTTGGGCGCGTTTGCCGCGGCCCCGAACCAGAAAGATGGTTTCTGGTTCTGAATGAACCTGGTACTTCACATCATTTCACACCACGATTGGAAGAAGAACTCCTGCCGTATTGTTGGAGGTTGGCCACCCTATTCTACAAAGTGTTGACGGTTCATTCATTTGGTTCATGATGATTCCAGGTTCTGTTGAAAGAATTCTTCCAACACTCGAAGCATCCAAGTTCTCAAACAAAACCGTACAAAAGCCATCGAACCCCTATACAAATGTCCCTTCCTTTTTGTACCCATCCGTTTCCCAGCCACTGTCACCCTGAGAAAATCCCTGATCTCTTTTTCATCCCTGTTTCCATTTTTCGTTTTTCCACCGTCTTTCCACCCGTTTTTCCACCAAAACACCATCCCCCACCCGGACCCCTTCAGCGTCCGAGGAGCGCTTCGTCGACCCGCCCCGTTTGGCTCTGGCCTTCGCGGTGCTCTGCGGCGCCGGCGCGGTGGGCGCAGAGCTTCTCGGAGCAGCGGCGGAGGGAGTTCGGACAGAGGACTGACGGGGTCATCTTGGGGAAGAACACATGAAACGACACAAAAGCAACTCTGGCCATGCCACAGTGTGAAATGATGAGGGATATAAGGTGGGATATGAGATGGATTCTTCTTGGGCGGCGTATTGTTTGGTGATGTTTGCTGTGAAGTGTTGGTGAGTGTGTTGTTTTGCCTGGGTCTTTCGGACCGATGTGAATGTTTGGAATGTCTTTTTCGGGGGGCAGGGCGATGCAAAAATTGAATTTTTTTGGGGCCAACCGACCAACCCACCAAACTCATGTAAAATGAGTCACGAGTCAATCACCCATGCAAAAACATGCATACGAGTCACTCAGCAAGTCGTGCAAAGCATTTGTTTTTAAGGCAGAACGCCTTCAACAGTTGCATCGTCGGCATGTTTGCCAAGTAATTCAGGTACGTACTACTTGCTTGAAAGGAGCTGGTTTCTAAACTGGTACGGCAAAATGGAGGAGTGCAACTAGTGCAACAACAAAAAATACAAGTTTGCCAATGTTGTGGTGCACAGCAATCGACGCACAATATTTGGTAAACACATGCAAGGTTGTCGTATAGCAACCTCTATGGGCGAAAGCAAGCAGACATGAGGGTGGAATTGGGTGGAACCTCAACCTCCCTTTGCATCGTGTTGTGATGCGTAGCCAGGAGTCCAAAAGCGATGTTTCGTTGATATAATTTGATAGAATACATCACGAATGATAGAAATTTAATGAAACATACTTGAATCAATGTCAAACGTCATATCTCAGGATCAACAGCAGGACTGTGACACTGGGCTAGAACCAATAGTTTTGCCCCACGGATCATTCAAGGTCCTGGTGGCTGTAGATGTTTAGAATGTTCCCGAACATGTTTGTTGGTCGGAACAAGACTCCAGGTTGGCTCTAGCCATTGGAACTGAGGCGGATTGGGAGGGATCGGAACATGTTTGGGCAGTCACAACTACAGTGGTTGACCTTCCCCAGAAGAACTTGCAAGAGTTTGTAGGTCATGGCACCCCAAGTTCATGGTGCGACGATTCGTTTAGAAAGATGAAGTATCCAGACTCCAGATAATTTGAACTGAACACCTCCCTTTGTCTATATATAATATACACATATATGGTTGTTTTGGAGAGGTCACTTAGTAACTAGTAACTAGTACTTTGTGTTGCTTGACAACAAGAGGAGTCCATATCAGATCACCTCAATGGTTGGTCCATTGATGGTATTTCCAAAAGCACATTTCACTGTGGCACCACACTTGGGATGGCCGAGGTGCTGGCACATGCTCGCTTGAATTGAAGGTTTTATTGTGGTTTTATGCGAAAAACATATGTTGTGGCGGAATAAACCAGGATAGATTCAGGATAAGACGTCTATCCTGTTGTGTTTATATATTTGTTGTGGACATTGATCGGGTGATTTATCGTCACAATGAATCAGGATCAAGCCAGCTAACTTGGAGCAGTGACTTCCTCCCTATCCTTACCCACATCGTTTCGTGGATGTGCCCGTTCTGGGAAAGCAACATGTCGACATGTCTTCTTTGTTGTGTTTATTGGTCGCTGTACAAACACATGGCAATCTTTATATAATATCATATCATTAGTTGATACCATGCGCGTGACTGAAATACAGCGTGTGTGTGTATTTGTTTATAAGAAGTACATAATTAGTGGACCGAATTTACATCGTTTCTTATCAAATTAAATGGCTCTAAGATATAATTCCGTTTCCCTTTATATGTTCTATAAATTTCTTTTACACACATAAAAAGGACTATATCTTAAGGGACAAAGACTTAGCCAATAATGTTAGTTCTATAAAATTCTTGGCTTGCAGGTCTTTGTCTGGGGATTCACCACCTGCCCTTTTTGGAAGCAAGGACAGGCGGTTAGAATCATTTTGTTTCTTTTCTATTATCATGATCCCATCTTTAATTTATATAAGATGGGAGGTCATCGGTTAGCCAATAAGGCATGGAAGATCTACCAAGACCCGGCGCAGTCCGTTTCGCCTTCGCCCTCGTCCGGTTCGCCCTCGTCCCGTCCCAGGCGGCCTGGAACCACAGCGAGGCGCAGTACGGCTCGGAGCCTCGGAGCCTCGGTCGGCGCAGTACGGAACGTTTAGGGCGGTGCGGTGGATGAAGGGTTTGCTGGGTCAGATGAAGGTGAAGAAGGTGAAGAACCAGCTTCCAAAAGGTGAACCATGAAGAAGCAGCGAACCAGGTGAAGAAGATGTTTCTGGAGCGGATATCGTTGGTGGATCGGATCTGTTGCACCTCAAACAACCGCTTCCGACGGCGACTGTGTATTCAGAAAAGCAGTTGTTATTCGGGTGCCAAACAAGAACCAAGGTCCGGTAGGAGCGTCCGGTATCTTCGCGTCCAAAAAATAATAAGAACCACAAGGTTTGGAGGGGTTTCATCATCCAAACCAGTCTCCAAAGGCTTGGGATCTTGGGCTTTGTGGTCCAAAAGAACCACCGGTTCCCCGGCGGGAGGAGCTCCGCACTGCTCCGTCCTGCGGAACTGGTGGTGGGGGAAAACGGACGAATGTTCCGGAATGGAATCGACATGGAATACACACACAGGTGTTGCCCAGATCTTGCGTTTGGATGTGTTTAGGCGACCCCAACAACGTTCGATGTCTTCCAAGGTACCTTTGCTCTACTTTTGGGCTTCGCTTTGCTCCTGTCCTTCCGGCGCTGCTTGTCCTTCCGTGGGCGTTCACGACGAACGTGGATATACCCATGCACTGATAACAAAAGGGGGGATACGGGGGGCAGCCTCCATGTCAGTTTCCTCCCTCCATTGGTGCAGGCCGTTGGTTTGCCCGTTGCATCGTTGGTGTTTGGCTGTTGACACCATCCGAGAGCGACACGGGTGGGTGGCAACAGCATTCTTTAGAATAGATTTCCACGGACTTGGACGGACTAGCCTTCCACGGGGGTGCAAGTGGTGTCTTTTCGAAGTGTTCCTTGGCCCGAAGCGGTGCCTCATGCCTTTCCTCCAAGCTGCAGGAATTGGTGTCAGAGGTCCCAGCTTCCTTTTTCATCATCTTTCTCCTAAACCAAACACTCCAGGTCCATGATATTATGGAATAATTAACATATATATATATATACACCATACATGGAGTGTTTGAAACAACACCGTCGATGCCTCCACCCCGATGCCGTGATGCTTCGATTCACCGGCCAGGCTGGTCGTCCGATGCTGTCGGGAGCCCTGAACAAGCACGCAACGACTTAAATGAGAAAGTAAGCGCCGGGGTATTTCGGAATGCACTGAGTGCGCATCGCGGCTTGCGAAATGCGCCGCAAACATCCAGCAAGCTGGGTCCCACATCGACCCAACATTCAGCAAACACCTGGTTAAAAGGATGAATTTGGACTTATCAGGAGCCCAGGTTGGGGGTTAACACTAATGGGTTAATGCATTGCTGTGGCTGGTTCCATTCCAGCATGGTGAACAGTTGTTGCTGCCAATGTTGATTGATGATCAACTCATCAATTACAAGGCCCTGTCGAAGAAAGTTTGCCCAGGAGACGTTCAGAATATACTTCAAAGAGTGTAAAAAAGACAAAACAATGTAGTGTTTGGTGGTCGGAGATGAGCTAAGTTGCATGTTGGAGCCTTCAGTGCGTTGCAGACGTAACGGCCAAACGAAATGAGTTAAGCCATCGGAAATGAGGAGATGTTTGATGTTTGGGAGTATGTCATACTTAAGCCATCGCTTCTAATTGAGAGGCGATGGAAACCACGCCATTCCCACCTTACTTGGAGTGATCAAGCCTCAGTTTGGGCATCATCAAAGGTGTATGAAGTTTCTCAGGAACCAAAGAATGATCAACCAAAAGCAAGAACAATCGACGAATCAGGGAGCATTGAAACCTCCAATGAGTCTCCCGCCACCCCGGAATGCGAGTGTTACCTCTGAAGCAAATGCTTCTCCTGCTTTCACAAGAGAAGTTCATCCAAATGAGGGCTTTATTAAGCCAGCAAAGAAGGACAGATGAAAAGAACGAAGAAGAAGAACGAGACATCAAGCAAACACAGGTCAAAGAGGTGAAAGGTAACCTAGGTTTCTGGAAGGAACTTCGAAAAGATGGGGGTATATTCGGATTGTCTTCATGTTCCAAAGCGTTGTCTTCATATTCATGCCATTTCTGAACATCGGGTTGATCTCTCAATCCATGACTTGCACTCTCACAAAAGCATAATTAACACCTCCACCGGACGCCAGCATCATGCTAGCATCATCGCAGCATCTCAGGTTGGGAGTGCTTCCAGAGCCTTCGGGTGCGGGGCGGGTCCGCTTTCTCCGAGAAAATTGGGACCTTCGGAATGCCTAAGGCATTTGTGCTTGGAATGGATAAGGCCAACATCCGGGCCAAAGTGATGATGTGTCCCGGACACACAAACAGATAGCTGATGATAGTTGCGCGCAACATCAAGATGTTGAACAAGAATCAGGAATTTGCTTGCAAGAACACATGACATGATGGTGTTCAAGTGTTTTCAAACATCAGGGCAGCCATCAAGGAGCTGTCCCCCTTGCCTCATCATGCCAAAAGATCGGGTGCCAAACCGCTAGCCATGAGCCATTCTCAAGCCTGTAAGAGATGTTGTTCCACTAGTTGGAGAAACATTTGGATCGAAGAGGATTAGCCTGGTGCCTTTGCTGGGCTGTGCACAACCCGGTTTGGATCAGCCAAAATCTTCCGACCGACTACTCCAACGCCTCGTTCGAACCTTCTGCATTGACCATTTGACCATCCGACCGACGGTAGTTGTGTCGCGAGCATGATGAATCATGATGAACCTTCGAACACTCATCATAAGAAAGTCTTTTTCCAAAAAGAGAATGGTCCAGAGATCTCCAGAGGGAGTTCTTCCACTTGCTCCCCTTGGTCTTTCACTTGGGGAGGGGGCTCAAACGATGACAGAAACACATCGACGCCACTTTGGTGGCGCCCACCGAAACAGCCTTCGTTCCGCGCGGCTCGGCAGGTGCCTTTGCCGAAGCTGGCCGTCCTGGTCTTCGGCTCCGCGGCGCTGCTCCGAGTCCTCCAGGCCGAAGCGAGAAGGACCCGGTGCTGAGGAGTGGTCCCGGCCTGTGAGATCTGTGAAGGTCATGTTCCTTTTATAAGTTGGAATATGTTGGAACCTTTTTGGAATATGTTGGAACATGTTGGAACCACTTTTTAGTATGTGTTTGATGGTTTTTGTTTGGATATGATCGACTTGGATGCTGCGGAGAAGAAGCCCCAGAAGTTGCGAAGTTCACTTGGTTTCACTGGGTGTTTCGATTGGTTTAGTTCTATCATGTTCTATACTTTTGGCTCCAGAATGGAAGGAACTCACCAACTGTGGCCAAGCAGAGCAAAAGAATTGATGCAGATCACACGAGCAACTCGCGTGACTCATGTGCTTTGTTCTTCTCTCCTTCCTGTTTCCTTCCAATCGCAGGGAAACAATGAACATGTTGGAGCTTGAGTGAAGAAAAGCAGCAGATTCACGATCATTCACTTCGCAATGTTCATTCAGAGAGTTTATTTTTTTTGGGGGGGGGTGATCCGGAAGCCCCAAAAACCCTCGGAGCTTTCAATCTCTTCACTTCCACAGTTCGATCCCAATGCTGCGAGGCGCAGGTCTTGTTTCGCGAGATCTCCTGGGAGCCCACGCTGCTCGTCCAGGTGAGGTGTTGCGCGACCCAATGGCTGAAGGTTTGCCGGTGGCTCACTGGGTGGTACGGACATGTACATGTTATAGATGAGACATGATGAGACAACACAGAATAGCTGAGAGTTTAAGCTCTGAATGGAGTTCAACACGTTCGATACATTTCAATACGTTCATGTCAATGTGAACATCGGCCATTCCGCCTCCCGCAGTGGAGCTCCGTTCGGTCCGGCCCTCGAACCGCTACGGGAGGAAGTCGAAGTCGTTTGTTTCGGCGAGGGCGTCGAACCTGACTCCGGGAAGGCATGTCCATGTGACCCTTGTATCCAGGTTCTGAGCACTGGAGACATGCACCTTTCATGTATTTTTTTTTTTTGGCCAAGTCCATGTCCAGTCTCTCAGAGCTGTGATCCGTTGATGATCAGAGCAGTGATCCATTGATGACCCAGTCCGTGTTCGCCCTGTTCCTTCCGCAGGGAGCGGTGACCTTGCCATCTCCACTGGTATGCTTGGCAGGACGGTTTTGGAGCTTGTCTTAGAAGGTTCTGGATCATCGATGCAAGGAGGTGGTAGGCTAAGGAGGTTCTGGATCATCACCGCAGGGCCGCAGGGCGTCATGCCTGGTCACACTGCATCAAAGAAAAGGGAGGGATCTTGAAGCAAATCAACCCAGTACGTGTCAATTTATGAAACCTACTAAGATTGTGTTTGATGGCTTTCATTAACCGGCTCTTAATCATCCCAGTGCGGTCGCGCTATGGTCGGTGCTTCGGATTTGGTGATCTCCGAGCACACTGAACGAGTGCTTCCGAGGAGGCAAACTACCAAGTCATCGGTGGTAAACAGTAGTCCCGAGCACACTGAATGCTATTGAATGCCGAACATTTGTGATGTGTGTGACCAGTCCTTTACCAAATGTGGACCATTGGAGCTAATTTGTGGACCATTGGATTGCAACCGGTTGTGTTTCTAAGAAACAAAGGCGCCGCCTGCCAGGAGCTGCGTGCTTATTGGCTTCAATGCTTCTGGCGAGCTACCACCTCATCCTCGAGTACACGCCCTGCCGCTATTCCGTGCTTCCCAGAGTCTGGGCACCTGAAGTCACATCGAGGAAGTCGGACCATTGCGGACCTGGCGACGTGGCACTGGCGGCCTTTCTGGTCACAACTGGCCACGAAAAGGGGAGGACAGAGAAGGACAAAGGATTCGCAGATGCTGAAGCTAGTTCTAGAAGGGGAGTGTGAGGATATGTGAGGATCAGAGCAGGGGGAACGATGGGAATAGTTGTTTGATGAGTGGACACATGCTTCATCATGTTTTAATCTATGTTGGCTCTGACACGGATATTTTGCACCTTGACTGCCTGACAAGGACTGGTCTGGTTTTTATGGTTGAGAAATACTTGGCAGATGCCCCCAAAAACAAACATATGAATATTGCGCAAATGTCCAACAAACACGGTGTGACCGGCTTCACATTGAGTTGCCATTGGAAGCCAAGAATGATGAAATCATACGGGGCTGACCCTAAAGTGGGATCGTTGAGAGCTTGTCCATCAGGAGCAAACATACAGCGCAGAAACCAACACCCCAAAGCCGAGGATTGAGCCAACAGTTTTGAGGAGGCAACAATAATATACTATATTGACATACTTTCTGGTATTATGGTTATATATTCTAGCTTTGTTGCAAACTGCAGGGATTCTCTAACGGCCCAATGTCCTAACGTCGTCCTACGTCGCAATCTCTGAGGAGCAGGGTAGCTTGACGGCTCAGGAGAACGGCTCAGTTGAGATTCTGAAGAGTCATTACAAAGACACTCCATGTAATGATGTAAACATTTCATTACACGGGGAAGAGTCATTCATCAAGACACGGGGAAGAGGCATTACAATGTAATTAGAGCCTTGATGAACAGCACTTCCTCTTTTGGATTGTAAAACCAAAGTGTTTTAACATTGGCGGTTGACATATAATCAAGAGCCTAGATGAAGGAATGTTTACCCAAGATGCCAGTCCGATTTGTCGTGTTGAGGATTAGAACACAGACCAGACATGTGTTTTCCGGAGAAGCAGGGTTTGTGGTGTGACCTGGGGTTTCCACCCAATCCCAGGAGCTGGGTTTGTCCTGCGGAAGCCCGGTGGAGGCGTTGGGGGTGAAGCCCGGTGACCGGCTTGAAGAGGTCCGGAGCTTTGAACATCTGAAATAAGCTACTAGGAACAAGTGCCTTACTAGTAGTAACAAGAAGCTATTAGAAACAATAAATAGAATTTACAATAAAGAGTAATCAGGAACAATAAGCTTCCAACAGAGCTCCACAGAGCTTCGCGATGATTGGACCGATGGACTTCCGGTGACGCCAGGCACCGCAGAACCGAAGAAACGCGTACGTACGTACGCGGATAGGGTTTGCGGGACTTTCATTCAGGGAGTGTGTTGCCACTGGTGTTGCAATAGTTTGATAGTTGTAGGGAACCATGAAATATTCCATGCATACTGCTGTAATCTACTGTAATGTTGGGTTGGATATCATAAAGTTTGCTGAATCATGTAGAATTTGCCTGGGAATTTGTTGGTTGACCCAGTTCCTTTGCGGGCCAACTACCCCATATAGTTGTGGTGTTTCTCTTGCAACAGATCTACCGACTGAATCAGTTTCACTTTGTTCAACTTGCAGGGTGAGAAAAAGGATCATCCTTCATGCCGGTTGGTTTGGCCATCATTGAATTGATATACAGCGGTCGTCCCTTCAATGTTGCCCCTTTGTTCCTTTGTCTGGATGTCAGGCTCAGCACTTGGAAGCTCAGCAGAGGCCGCTTCATGTTCATGGACTTTGTGCTGACTGAGTTTCAGTAAGTTGGGCGGGAGGTAATAAGGCGGAGCTGAGATGTGAGAAGCAGAACATGAGGTTTCTTTTTGGGTACTCATTTGGGTCAATTTTCCCTCATGAGGCACACCTGACGGTCATGAGTTTCATGGTCATTCATGCCGCATAACATCCGGATGTTTGGTAGTATCGGTGTTGATGCATCTATATGACATGAGTTGTTGGTATTGAACGTTGCAACTAGAGCAGCGTGAGCCATTGGGTCGCAACCAGCTAATGTAGTTGCATCCAATGGATCCATGCGGATGGTGTGTGCCGGTGACACCATTGAGCCATGCAACCTCCACAGGTGAAAGGTTTGGTTGTGCCTATATGAGACATGAAGGTCCCGGTTATATACATGGATTGAGAAGATAAGCCTAGGCCATTTGATAGAACCTCAATCCAGGCCAGATCGCGCGCTGCCTGGACTTCTGGTGAGTGGTGACATGTGGTGACTGGTGACTGTCACCCGTTATGTACCTTGTGATTTACCGCCACTTGTTGCTGACTTTGTGCAGCTTGCTGGCAAGTGAAATGAACAGAACTGGTAACTTGTTTGGTTTGACACGCCAAAAGAATCTGACCTACCGAACCAAGCAGCAGTCCCGCATTTCACCCGGGCTTTTGGAACCAGTTGATCTTATTGAAACAGGGAGTCTTTGATCATTTTTGAACCATGCCAGTCAGTGGCCAATTGGTAAAGCTTGCTGTAGTGCTCCCCCCCAATACAGAATTCATCCATCCCAAGGGTTGAATCAGATTGAACTATGCTCTCTGGGCATCGGCCACGGACCCGGCCTTTCTTCCACAACTCCACCAGCACCAGCACCATTGGGTCCAACGACCTCTCAGGAGCACCGAATGGGCGCTGTCGGAGATTTGGAAGAAAGGCCCCGAGTGCGGGCCCAGCAACTGGGAAAATCGATTGGACAGCCTCGGGAATCCTGAAAAGAGCACCCCTTTCGGCGGTCTTCTGAAGCCAGCACAAATAATGGTGGGGCTTGGCTAGGTTTTAGGTCTTCCACCAAGTGGCTGGATGTTGGACGGTGGATAGAGGGGGCTGAGTTGGAAGAATGAGGGTAGTTATTCAATTCATCCCAGATCCATTGCCTCGCCAGCTGCATCGTACATCGTATTGACAGACCTAGCTTGCATGTCCAAGGAGAATTCGCATCCTTTCGCCATCCTTTCGGCGCCCAAACAATCTCGTTTGACTGACCTATGCGCCTGTCAGGTGTTTGATTGACCGCATTTCTCCATCCCGTCGTTCTCTTTCGCTTGAAAGAGCTTGCGTGCTTTCTTTTCGTCCAGTCGAGCAGGTTGGCAATGGTTGGGTGTGGTGGTTTGCGCCATCTCCTACTACATGGGCATCACGCGTGCGTTGTTCCTCATCAATCCACCCGTCGCTTGGTGGCTTTTTGAGTGGAGAAACAGCCTCGTTTGGTTAAGCCGGTTAAGCCGGTTCAAAACCAAACTGTCACCAGGCTGTTTGACCAGCTTGGATCACTAGTTCAGAGTAAACAGTAAACAGAGGGTTCGGAAGTTCACTAATGTGACCTTGTTTGATAAGTATCGTTTCTGGGAAGTTTGCGAGATCGACGGTTTCATAGATGATGGATATCGATGGATGTTTCAACCACTTGGAGGGAAGATGGCTCCTCATTTGAGACACATTGACCCGAAGAGCACCGAGCACGGAACAAGAGCACGAGGCCACTAGTTGGTGAGTTGGGATATGTTGGGACTGTTCATTTTGCCGAGTTCTTTCAAGATTCCATGGTTTGTGTGAAATTGTATGATAAATATCATACAATATCGTATAAAGATCCATGGCGGCGAAACACATGTCAGAAGCTAGAATCGCAGCCAGCAAAAACATGGGCAGCCCTGGTTTCGTACCTTTGCACTGTATGTTAACCTCCATGTTCATACTCCTCCTGATCAAACTCATGTTCATACTCCTCCATGTTCATACTCCTCCTGATCAAACTCATGTTCATACTCCTCCTGATCAAACTCATGTTCATACTCCTCC